TCTATATTTCACTTATACTGATCACATGACTTCTGAGCCTCTACTCAAAAAGGGTCCTTTCTTGAAACAGAAAAATCCTTTTTCGAAGACGTTTATATTTCCTTTGACAATATACTGACCTCCAATACAACTTGATTGAAGAATTAATTACTACCTACTAATTAATCAGCTTACCAATATAGATATTCCTGTCCCAAAAAAATTACAGGTGTTGTCTGGAAACGAAGGTGTGGCACATTGATGGATAAACAAATAAAATAACAATCATATCTTAGTACTGTTAACAGAAAGCTGTTAGGTCTTTAAAGTTATCCTGAAGTTCAAAGCTTTTTTAGAAACCAGAACGACTTTGCAATCAAGGTCAATAAAGGTTGAAGAGGGAAAGCCATTTTTTTTTCTAAACTACAGGTTTGACAGTAATCTCAATGACAATGAAGGTCACATTATTTACACCCTCACCTACACATTAAGGCCAATCTGAAGAGGAGTGTTTCTGGGAATCATTGGAAAACAGGGTTCTAAATAACACTGAAAAATCAAATAAAACACAACCCATAATTTTGCATGCAAAACAAAATCATTTTAAAACCAAAATCAAAACAAGTACCTGAACTGCATTTCTTGTTTCTGAAAAATCCTATGAAATGTCAGAAAACATTAAAATAAAACAAAATCAATATAAAGGATTGTATGTATATATTGGTTAAGGAGCAATAGGGAAAACAAAGGATATGTACAGTTGTTTCACAACATTTTTTCCCTTTATTTTATAAAAAAAAAGATGAGTTTGATAAAAACTGGTGTTCCATAGCTGCCTTTCAAGCTAGCAATATTTTGAAATGTTTTCTTGCTACCTTGTGTTAGTTCTAACAACTGCTAGTTTTTATCAATACAACTTAACTTATTTGCTGACTAAAATTGTAATATTACATGTCAAGCACGCTAAAGCATCCTTTTATTCTATAAAGCCATATTAAATAATTCTGGCATGTCAGAAGTATGTCACAGGATTTTTGAAGGAATTTTGCCTGGATGAACCTCCAAGATCGACTGTACTGTAACACTACCAATGATCTGAGTCAAAACTAATACAAACTAGGGTTTGATATATGATAATTAACATCTTTTCTCTTTATTTCCATCATTAAAGCATATATACACTGTAAAATGATGCATATTTCAAATTCCCTCGCCTCAAACTATCAGTTGTAAGCCAATAGGAAATGCCTGTAGGAAATAACTAGGGCCAACAACATGAAAAAAGTCATGGAATTGACATGTGACTAAAAATCAGATAAGACTTTGATTTGAATCTAAGTCAAAAGGCAGATATTAATGCAAAGCCTTAGTAACACATTAGGACTCAGGAAAATACTATGACATAGAAAGGATGTAGTGTAGTTGATAAAGGTGACTGTGATAAGTGATGTTTAGGTAAGCTTTGCTCCAACCGTCTCAATATAACAAATTACAGAAATAAGTGATATTTTGATACAGAGCTGTGTACAAATATCCCTATGATACTTACTGGACAAGCAAAGACAGCTATAGGTACAACAGTTAATTAATTTGAAGTTACATAGATTAGGCAGAAGAGTGATTGTTGATGGGGCTTTTGATCTGTGTATTTTTTATGTAACAATGTAAATAGAATCAGACTTGTGTACCTAATCCACTCGCTAGTCTGTCTACTGCCCCTCTGGGTTATGGTGAATAATCACAAAAGTTGCAGGATGTTTTATCATTACCCAATGCTGTCTGTGTCAACAGTTTTTTCACCATTTTTTTTTATTATAACTATTTTGTCACAGATCTGGGGCGTCCTTTGAAAATTCATGAACCATATGTCAGTTCTATTTTCTTTCTCATAAACTTCAATATGAGAGGTTTTCATAAGTCAGCAAAATTTTGACCCTATTTATTTCCAAATCTACTGGGTAAAAGTAAAATATCACAAACAACTCAATAAGAAACTAACATGCACTACTGTAATGAACAACAGGCTCCTCTGCCTTATTTACTATGAGGGCAAGTTTGGTCACTAACTATTTACTTTTGATGACTGCTAATTTATCATATGTGGTCTATACATACTGATACACATCACTGCCTTAGCTATGTAGATGGTGTCAGCATGGTTGATTTGGTCCAACCAAAGAAAATCAGTGGTTAAACAACATGGCTTCCAGTTTCACTACACATTGCAATAAGTTACCAAAGATATTTCAATCTTTATGTAGTATGAAAGATTAATGTCAACATTGTTGGTGATCAAATTTCCTACATATTTATTAGTTTTTGTGCACCTTCATTATTATGTAAAGTACTATCAGCATCTGTCAGACTTGTTACTAATGCTCCTTCATAATTATTTATAGTATTGTAAGCATCAGTCAGATGTTTGTTACTAATGCTTTTTCATTACTATTTATAGTATTGTCAGCATCAGTCAGATGTTTGTTACTAATGCTTCTTCATAACTATTTATAGTATTGTCAGCATCAGTCAGATGTTTGTTACTAATGCTTTTTCATTACTATTTATAGTACTGTCAGCATCAGTAAGACACTTGTTACTAATGCTTCTTCATTACTATTTATAGTACTGTCAGCATCACTCAGGTGTTTGTTAACAATGCTCACTTCAGAACTTAGTACTTAGTACAATATGAACCATATTATAGTGATTAAGCAGACATACATATGTGTATCACAGAATTTCAGACAGTCAAAAAGCTACTGAGGTATTTGTTGTTGTTGGTAAAACATCCCTAGAAAACTTTCTGAGGACAATTACGTCAAATGTTTACATGACGTCTGATTTATAACTTTTAAAAACGTGAAAAAAAATGTCACCACAAGATGTTAACAGAGAAGGTGAAACAGAGTGAGGATCATGCCAAAAATTTGATGTAAGGCAAGTATGAACACCTAAGAACACTGTTGTATTGTTCTTAATTGCACATCAACAAGTGATATTGCATCATCATACAGAATATTCATTTTAGATTTAGATACAAGCGACATACAACTCACTCACTCGGGATGAGTGCCATCATTCTTGGAACCCATACTGCTGATGAGTTGATAAAAGCATGTTTATTGTACAAATCAGATCTACAGAACAAATGTAATTATAACAGTAGATGGCCCTTAGACACTGAGAGTAAATTTGTTCCAAGTTATATACTAAACATACATATTTCAGTGTTAACCTTCTTTTGGTGCTAATAGTGGTTTCTATATGCCGGTTTTACAAAAAAAATGAAGGATCTGTGAATTTATCAATGGGCTGATTTGCTAAAAAATGATTAGGTACTACACTTAGACTGCTCCAGATTAAGTATGTTTATAGTATCTAATTTCAAATCTAACACAATATTTACATTAGAGATGGAAATTTCATAAATTTATCAAAGAAACTTAATTGAAGATATTCTTTTACACTATTATGTTATTCACTTTATTGAAAATTATAATGATGTATTCCTAAGAAAAAACTAACAAATTCTGAGGATATCTACCACACCAATCAGACAAACTGGTTTTTGTGCCAGTATATTTTCTGGACTGTCACATTTATTTTCTATTTTTACAGATTCCTAGACATAAAACCACTAAATGTATCACTAAACATTGGAAAATCTCAAACAGCCATCTAAACTGATGTGTTACAAGGCCCGGTAGACCGTTGATTAACAAACATCGTCACCAGTCTGGAGGACCAGATTTTATATCAGAAATTGATGGCACGTAAGACCGATGGTACGACTGAAAAACTATGGGTCAGTACAACAGAAACAACAACACATATAATCAACAACAAGTGCCTAAATCACACCAACATTATTCCAGGCACACAATAACAATAAAAACTGAATTTATTTATCACATAAACTGTAGGAGTGATACTTCATATCACAAAAGAGATTCCACTCTTTCATATAGCTCAGCAGACTTATACAAGATAGGCAACATCAGCAAATCTGTCAACTGAAGATTTAGCCTAAAGGAAAACTGAAGGCCCTAATGAAGGAACACTAATAAATATAAGGACCATCAGGCAGGAGGTAGGACACCTTTCTCATCACCACCAATGTTGTCTTTATTAAACAGGGAATTACTGTCGCCGTGGTTACATCCTTTTTAATATGGCTGCATGTTTTTTTTTTTACTGTCACGTAAGCACACTCCATGTACTTTGGCTCTTTTTTATTCTGTATTTTTATTCAGACTAAAAATTTAATCATCTCTCAGTTTGAAAAGTTCAATTTCATTTAGTTACTAATGTACCATTCAGCCAGCTGTAGTTCCAAATAACATGCGAACAATTATTCAAAAGTTCTAGGTTGGTAAACATCAAAACACAAACATGCTAGCACATTTGTATGCTTTAGGTTTGAAACACCAATTAACAGAATGTTTATAAAAAACTTACTCTTTAAATTGGCTATTCTACCTTGCTTTTAGACTTTGAATAATCATGAATCCCCGGAAAAAATGTTCTGTCTAATTTTCACTTTTTCTTTCTCAACTACTTGGCTGCCTTCAAAATGTAGTATATCAGTGATACTGAGGCGACCAACAGCAGGCTGGTAACATAGGGATAAAAGGATTTCCCCAAGTTTTCCCTGTAACAATACATTTCAGCCTTGCAACTATATTCAGTGAAAAATTGGAAAGAGGTAAAATTATTACAACTTTCCCAAGGTTTCATCGCTTCCTTAAGTCTGTATAAGATTATGTTTCTAGTTGTTTAGTATATCATTTCTATTGTGCAATTATGTCTGCTATCTGTATTTATCTCCCCCTACAACTTTGCTGAAGTTCATACTTCTATGATACTCATAACTTCTGATAAATAACAAATAGCATTTCCATAATTCAGTCTTCAGCTTGGTCTGATATGTTCAGATATTCATATATATATATACTGGATAACATAGTTTCCTGTATATCAGTAAATCATTTTAATGATGGCGCCTAGATTCCTTAACTTACCTGATGCACCAGTAATGTCTTTGGCTTTGAGGTCCTTTGCTTTCATGACTATCACAGTGAGGCGACCAACAGCAGGCTGGTAACATAGGGATAAAAGGATTTCCCCAAGTTTTCCCTGTAACAATACATTTCAGGCATCAAATTAACAGGCAGCAAATAACCTCAATTTTACTTGCAACTATATTCAGTGAAAAATTGGAAAGAGGTTAAATTATTACAACTTTCCCAAGGTTTCATCGCTTCCTTAAGTCTGTATAAGATTATGTTTCTAGTTGTTTAGTATATCTATTTCTATTGTGCAATTATGTTAGTCATAGAAAACTTTAGAATTAAGAAGAAATCACTTTTGATGTTAAGAGAATGTAATAACATTTATCAGAAAGTGATACCAGTGGTGGAACACTAACGTTTATCATAGAGTGATACCAGTGGTGGAACACTAACGTTTATCAGAGAGTGATACCAGTGGTGGAACACTTACATTTATCATAGAGTGATACCAGTGGTGGAACACTTACATTTATCAGAGAGTGATACCAGTGGTGGAACACTTACATTTATCACAGAGTGATACCAGTGGTGGAACACTAACGTTTATCATAGAGTGATACCAGTGGTGGAACACTAACATTTATCATAGAGTGATACCAGTGGTGGAACACTTACATTTATCAGAGAGTGATACCAGTGGTGGAACACTTACATTTATCATAGAGTGATACCAGTGGTGGAACACTTACATTAATCAGAAAGTGATACCAGTGGTGGAACACTTACATTTATCATAGAGTGATACCAGTGGTGGAACACTTACATTAATCAGAAAGTGATACCAGTGGTGGAACACTTACATTTATCATAGAGTGATACCAATGTATTTGAACAGTGGCCCCAGTAACTATTGTTACAAAATAAATATCTGATAACTACAATCCCTATGTCCTATTTCATCATCAAATTTACATTTCTAAGATTAAACAATAATATAAAGTGCTATTCCTACATAAATTCATTTCAGGGGTCATGAATTTGATCTGAATGCAATATCTCTGTGCTAATGGTTTTAGAAGTAGATGGCACTCAATCCACACTCCATGTTACATTATAGCCAATAGACAAATCAAAATTTACACAGGAAATGTTGTGCATGTTGGAAATACGAATGAAACAGGAAGAGGCTAAAACTAAACGTGACAAGTCTCTCTAAGCACAGGTCTGTCTAAAGTGGATAGTGTTGTTGGTGTAAACACATGACAAAGCAATCTTTATTTGATTGGACACTTGAAAGAAGTCCAAATGTTTCAGAAGATAACATATGTTAACAACTGCTGTGTTATCCTGTATGTTTTACATGTCTGGACTGCACTTTTAGAAAATCATTTGTATTATACTTCCCTGATTAGCCCTTATCATACCTCCCTTTCTTACACATAAACCTTAACTTGACACTCTTTTTGTTTTATCTAAGCTTGCTTTGTCCATAAGTAACTTCTGATTTCTTCCAAGAAATTTAAATGCCTAGACATAACCCCTCTTGTCACATTTCTGACTTACCTTCCTTGTCATGACCATAACTTTAATTTCCTTTACATCAGAAAAGTTATCTATTAGTGTGCCATTCTCCTGAATTGACCACCAAGTAATATATCTCTAACAATTATGAAACATCCACCCTGACACATCCCTAACTTACCCTCTTTGTCTAAAATCCCACCCTTATGTCATGTCCCTGACTTGCCTTGCCTGTTATATCACTGATTTATCTCCCTTGTTGTGACCTTGTTATGTACTTCGTTTGCCATGCTTCTGATTCATAGCTGTTTCCATTTCCCTTTTTATGCCCCTAACTAACTCCCTTGTCATGTCTCTGAATTCAACTTCCTTTATTGTATTCTTATGTCCCTGATTCACCTATTCTGCCACATCAGAGACTTATCTCCCTTGTCGTAGCAAAGTTTTATCCCTGACCCACATCCCCTGCCTTATCTCTGAATAACCTCCCTTTTTGTGCCAAAGTTATTTCCCTGACCCACATCCCCTGCCCACATCTCCTGCCACTTCCTTCACTAACTTCTCTTGTCATGGCCAAGTTATGACTTTTGACTCACATTTCCAGCCATGTCCCTGACTTACCTCCCTTGTTATGCCCATCACTTACCCTGCTGTCTTTACAAGGCTGTAGAAACCTCCACATCATGGGTGACTGAGAGAGGTCGACTTCGTTCAGAGGGAGGTATGTCTCTCCAATAGGGTCGTCTCTACTAAAGCGGTCATAATCTATCACTTGTAGGTATAAAGTCTTTTCTAGAAGTTTGTTGTGAGGCCACCCTGGGAAAAGAACAATAGTAACAGACCAATCAAATTTAAGGCAAGGACCCTTATTTACTACAGCAAAAACAGGGGAAAAGACATCATATATTTAAAGTTGAAGAATTACAAACTAACTGCAATTTTAACATATTGTGAATTTTTTGCAAGACATAACAGCTTATGTAAAATTCACTCAGCCAAACAATTATTGATTATATGCTTTTCATGAGGACCAAACATAACAATAACCAAAGAATTTTCTAGATTATTCTACAAACTTGAGATAAATTATTAAAAACCACAGAGATAAAGTTAGAGCATATTATACAGCTGTGAGTCACAATATGATTTTTAAACTGTTCTTTAAAGTGTGTTTTTCACAAATGAAAACATCAGCATAAGAATCCAACTATCAAAATAGTAATCATGTGTTTTAAATGCTGACATGTCTTTCTTATTAGAGCATCTCTTTTATCTACCCTTTTCATTTTTTTCGTTAGAAGAAGAATTTCCTTGACAACACTGTGATAAAGATAGCCAAACAGTATTCCACTGGTTAAACTTGAATTAAATTTTCTATAATGACAATGTTATGAAGTGGTGATTTTAAGATAGAAAGCTTAAACTTATCATGTTGTTTTCCTGTTATGTCATTATGTGTAACTCTTATGTGTAACTCTTAAACTAACCATATGATAAACAGTATATCAAACTCTTTTCCATCGCATTAAAAAAACAATGCAACTTCACCAACAAAGGGTTGACTATATTAGCCCTACTTCTCTTCAAATTGAAAATTTTGTAGCCATAATGACAAGTGGTACTTCTCAGAAGATGATGTTGTCCCTCCCCCACAATCCACTGAGCTTAAATTGTATCTATATGTAGCTAATCTAAAGATCAACTAACAATTGTACCCTTAAGCAAGCCATATTGATCTTAAGAATAATGAGCTTAAAAGTAAATCCATAATAGATAGGGGTTCAACCTTTTAGTCAGATAAAGTATATTCTGTTCAATAGTTTTGCTTCTTTTTTAAGATTAATTCATTTACACATTTAGCAGAAGAAAATAGGTATTTTGAGTCCAAATCAATGTAAGGATCAACATAGATCCATATAGATTGACTTATTTAGATATTCAGGATTGTTATGGCTCAGGGTTGGACACAACTGTTTAGGGTTGTCATGGGTTAGGAATGAAAAAACCTGTTTCCTGTTTTCATGATTCAGGAATGGACAAAGTTGTTTTGGGTTGCCATGGCTCATGGATGGACAAAACTGTTTTGGGATGCCATAGCTCATGGATGGACAAAGTTGTTTTGGGTTGCCATGGCTCATGGATGGACAAAACTGTTTTGGGATGCCATAGCTCATGGATGGACAAAGTTGTTTTGGGTTGCCATAGCTCATGGATGCACAAAGTTGTTTTGGTTACCATGGTTTGGGGATGGTCAAAACTGTTTTGGGGTTGTTGCCATGAATCAAGGATGGACAAAGCTATACTAAGTTGCCAAAGCTCAGGGATAGACAAAACTGTATATGGTTCCTATGGATCAGGGATGGACAAAACTGTACATGGTTCCTATGGATCAGGGATGGACAAAACTGTACATGGTTCCTATGGATCAGGGATGGACAAAACTGTTCTTGGTTCCTATGGATCAGGGATGGACAAAACTGTATATGATTCCTATGGATCAGGGATGGACAAAACTGTACATGGTTCCTATGGATCAGGGATGGACAAAACTGTACATGGTTCCTATGGATCAGGGATGGACAAAACTGTACATGGTTCCTATGGATCAGGGATGGACAAAACTGTACATGGTTCCTATGGATCAGGGATAGACAAATCTTTAGAGGATTGTCATGACTCTGGGAAACACAAATATGTTTTGGGTTTCATGGCTCAAGGATGGTCAAAGTAGTACTGGGTTGTCATGGCTCAGGGACGGGCATAGCTGTATTGGGTTGTTGTTGCTCAAGGATGGAAAAAATGTTATGGCTGTCAGGGATGGATTAACTGTCTAGGGATGTCTTATCTCAGGGGTGCACAAAAATGCTTTGGGTTGTAATGGCTCAGGGATTCACAAAACTGTTTTGAGTCATCATAGCTCAGGAATGGACAAAATTATTTTGGTCTGTCATGACTTAGGGATGGACTAAACTGAATTTCAATATTTGAATAAAACACACTCTCCCTTTTTCTCATGTTTCATCTGCTTGTCAAGAAAACAGCAGATGTGAGCATATCAATTTGTTACATAACACTTCACTCTCAAATTGTATTCATTTTGAAAAAGGAACACAATTACGAAACACTACAGCACATCAACTCCGATGGCGATTAATTAAACCAACCCAAAACAAGCATTATGCTGCAGCCTTACTCTAAACATCACACCAAAGATGTCATTAATTGATCCTAAAGGGGAATAACTCAAGAGGACAATCATCCCAGGGTTTGACCTTCAATCTGTCCCAAGGGTAAACAAACATTGAAAAGCAGTTACAAAGACGGACTTCTACTGGAAAATAGATATTGACCTCAAGTGAACATGTATCACAACGGTTTACAATTGTGAATAAATTTTGGAAAATCTACTCCCACATCCAAGTATCACTATATGATAGAAGAAATGTATTATAAGTAATGAAAGACTGGAGGCTGGACAGTTACTTGTTGCTCAACAAGGTGAACATGACCTGATCTTCAAAAGTCGAAAATACATAACACATACATGACCCATGTACCCAAAGATCTGCTGGTATGCACTTCAACAGGACTGATGTTTCTGTGGTTTTTTCTTGTGCTTGGGGATATAAATTAGATTTTTGGAAATATTTATTTTTAACATCTTCTAACAAATATCACCCTCTCTCTTGATGTGTCTGAATGTTTAATTGACATGTCATATATAGGGCCATAGCAAATCTATTCTACGTTTATTCTGAAGGCATAAAAATATGAATGGTTTTAAATTAAATGCAGGTCTGAAAGAATATAAATATTTGCAGAAATCTGTTAAGGAGAAATATTCTACCATACCGTCTTGTTCAAATTTTAAGGTAATCAACAATGGCCGATATATTTGAAATCCTGCAGCTCACAATGTAACAAAATCAAGTGTAGAAAATTGTACAAAGAGCAATAGTGAAGAGATTTTATTACTTTAAATATTGATGTATTTCTGATAAAAAATTTGACTAATTTTCAATATAATAGATATGTTAATAAAACCTAGAGATGTAGGAGTAAAGTCAGCACTTTGATTAAAGTTTTGTACGTCCATGATTGGTCCATAAGGAAGCCCAGGTGAGAAGATACATTAATTATTTCCAGGTTGTTGGTAACTACGCTGTGTCTCCTAAAACAAGTGTAATGACCCTTTCACTAACAAATGCCATTAGCTTTTCACAGGCTGATAACATTAAAGGTTATCGACAAAGCACCGGGATACCTGAAATAACCTCCTGTGTTACATCACACAGTGACGGTCATTGACCTCCAGAAAGACGGACACAATAAAAAACAATGATTATCATGTAATCATTACATTGACCGCTTGGAGTGCATGCTGTGGTCATTTTGTAGCTGTATACATAACAAATCACTCAAATTCTAAAGTGATTGGGGGGAACCCTGGGGACCAGCTCAGCACCAGGTCAAGGGTCTGTTATAGATTCCAATAGAACATTGAGACTGTTGAAAGCTAGACAAATACACTCTCACATGACAAGTTCAGCATTTAGAGTGACCCTGAAGTGACCTCAGAGTGGACATTAAGTGGCCATTTGTTGGATGCTAGACAGGCTTTTCCCTGTGTAATAACTCCAAAGTTTGGATCAATGCTATCATCACTAATTTGTTAATATCAGCACATATTGAAATCCCACATTATATAATACATAATTAATGTTATGTGTGTATAGAACATACAGCGAGACGTGGGAGACGCATCCCATTCACTTTCCCATGATGTCAGAAAAATGTCTGACACTTTGATTGGTAAGTGATTTATCTTCTTTGTCTCCACTAGTGTAACATAAGTTACTGACCACATCATTCACACAGCATCTGACTACCTATTCTGGCTAAATAAGGTAAACAAGACCAATTGTCTGAGATGAATCATTAGTAATTTCTACATAAAGTAACGCTGCTGACCACAAACAGAACAACAATTCTGCTACCATCAGCAAAAAACACTGATATCCAATTCAAATTATTGACATCTTCGACCTTAGGAATGATTGACCCCCAAAAGAAACTGATACATGGAACAGACGTATAATCTAACAATCAGGAAGGATGTCCTCCAGAAATATCAGACCATTGTTTGGTAACTATTATTTGAAGTCATAAGGACTGTCTCATTTACTACAGAAATATTAATAGTAAGCCATGTTGACATTCTACAAAAGCAATGGGGATACAGTAAATATTCCCTGGTTTATATCACTGTTGTGGAAAAAAAGCATAGAAGTATACACATTTTGTACACACAGACTGCACAGACACACAAGTGAATAGCACCTTCCAAAATAGAGTCAATTAACTATATCATACAATTTTATCCTCCTCCTCAGACTCAACTATGATGCTATATTAAGCTTAAATTGTTGAAATCTAGGAGGTGACTGAAGAAAATCCAATTAAATATAAAATAAATGTCAGAGACATGCAACCATGTCAAAATTAACTTACAGTCATACCCTGTTAACTTGAACTCAGGGAGACCATTGAGAACTTTTGAGATAATGAAGTATTTGCTTTAGGTAAGTTGGAATGTTTTGTGTAAAGTTAGGCAGAGATGTTGATGATGTTGTTTCCTTCATAAAGCAGATACCTGACCTTTGACTTTGATTTTGTCCAATGAATACCTTTACATAAACCATGATATAACCTATAACCTTTTTGACCAATGACATTTAAGAGTTCAATGGTACTAAATACCACATATACTTGTATAAATATGGCCACATTTCCTCAATCACTGAACTTAATTTACATTCCACAACTAATAAGCCCTTCAACTAGATGGCAAAGGTTGGATGAAGTCACTAATGCCCAGGCTTCCACTTGCTGTTCTTTTTTTTATCCTATCCGACTCTATCTTACATCCATCAAGGCCAACAAGAGTTATCAAAATATGTTTACAGCATTTTTAATATTTGTACACGAAATTTATCATAGCTTCATATCTAAATATTACCTTTCAGTCTTTTCTTGGCAAATGGTATTTTAAACCTAAATGTTACAATGTATGCAGAAGTTCTTCATTAATGCTCTGCTCTCTTTTTACAAGAATACAAAGAGCAATAATGATGCTAATATTAATTTTGTGTAAATAACATGTATAGGTGTTTCAAAATGACAAAACTATACTACTATCTTATTATTGTTTTGTGGTTAACATTTTGTAATTCATTCTAGTAAGGCCTTCTCCTCTTATTCCTTGTAGGTGAAATCATCATACTAGCATACCTCATTAGCTGTTTAAAGGAATACACAGCTGTGACACTGCTGACAACAAAACCTTTATCAGACAATGCCTAAAGTAAAGAATTTCATTCTTTGATGTAGAACATGCTGAAGTATTGCCTACAAAACATCTATTTGTTTGCTATTTTTGGTAAATCTGTGCAGGGGCATTGTTATAAAGTAGTAGTTCTGTAGTGAGGCTTTATCTTGATAATATTGTGCTGGGATGTCACCTTAGTTACACTGCCCTGGGATGTCACCTTAGTTACACTGCCCTGGGGCGTTACCTAAGTTATACTGTCCTGGGATGTCACCTTAGTTACACTGCCCTGGGAAGTTACCTAAGTTACACTGTCCTGGGATGTCACCTTAGTTACACTGCCCTGGGACATTACCTAAGTTATACTGTCCTGGGATGTTACCTTAGTTACACTGAACTGGGATGTTACCTTGGTTACTCTGCCATGGGATGTTACCTTTGCTACTTGATTTGGGGGTGGGATTGTACAAATTCAGTATCAATGAGAACCATCATTTATCACCAATCAGCATTTTACCGTGGGTCTCTTAAAGTGTAAAAGTAATACAAAATACACAAAGTAAAATGTCACACAAGAAAATAGTGTCTTTTCATACTAAAGAGTTCCTTACCTTCAAAAAGAAAACATTCATTCCATCTAGGGTTTAAATTCCTCTTTTTGACTTTTGTGACAAGTTTATGTTTTTTATCTGGTAATAGTAAAATTTTGACATAAGGATCACTTGTTCCGGTAAAGTCCTTAGCAGGAAGCCCAACTCCCTGAAAAACTTTTAAGTTCAACGTTAGTGTTTGGAAATCATAACTTAGAGCCACTTGTATCCGTCCTAATTTACAGTCAACACCCTCCGCTGGGTCAATAACTTGAGGTCCAGGGTCCTCTTCAGCATCATCCATTAACATGTTGGCAATGTTGCGCATCCCCTTCCACACACTATTGTTTTCATCGTCAGCACTTTGTGATCGCTGTGAGTCTGAATGACTTAGCATCTGAAACATATGGAAACATCATATGAAGGAATGTTTTCTAACATTAAAAGTCATTCTATTATACAGCTTCAACATATTAAATGCTTGTTTCAATTTTCTGCTGTTGTACAGATATGTGGAAGATAACAGACAGTATGTAAATGATATCATGAGGTTTAGCAAAGCATTGTCAAAAATATCAGTTGAGCGAAATGTCTGTAAGACATGACTGCCCCAAGCCCCAAGCATATATAAGTATCATTATTTGACAACATTCTATAAATAGTGATGGTAAGCTTGACCTTAGCTATAAATATACAAACTCATAGGAGATATTGTCATTGCTACATAAAGTCTGATCGAATTCTTTAACAAATGAATGTATCATGTTAATCCATGAAATAATCATCACCATGATGATGGCACAACAGCATTATTATCAAAGTCTTGTTTAACACTGTCCTCCTCCTCACTACCACTTCACACAAAAAACAAACCCAATGAAAACTTCAATTTCCTACACATTTTCTAATTCTTTCCTTTCCAAGTAGTTCCCGTAATCAAAATTTCAATTTTCCGCCACCAAGACACTAACGTCTTATTCATCCGCTGTAACAATTTTAAGATTCCTTATAAGGTTTGGTAAAAATAATGTCTTCTCAACATCAATCAACAGCATATTATTTCCAGTTGTCAATGAAATAATCAACTCTGATATTTTGAAGGCATCTTTATATGTCTTCCTCATTTTCCTAAGTGTACCTCGTTATTATTATATCATTATAATTACTTTTTTACTAAAAACGTCAGTGGAGAACAACATGAAACCACTTCTGTATTGCTTATTAATCAATTCCATTTTCCTTCGTAGAAACTGTAACAATTATTTCTCCAATGGAACAATTTTAAGAAATGCTATAAGTTACAATTTACAAGTGACCTTTGTGTACTTAAACCGTATATTACCTTATTTGGCAATCATTAGCCAATGCCTGGTAATAAGCCCACCCATATTGCTATTCTAGAATTACCAACAAATGCTATTTCATTGTTCTAAAATAAGTTTAATTCTCTTTGACCTTAATTTTCTCTGTTATGGACAAGGGATATTACAGTATAGATACAGTAAGATAACTAAATTCATATCAATGCAAGGTTACATGAATCTCATTATTCAGTTGAATAGTTACCATGCATACTAGATATCTAAATGACTTCAAATTAAACATTTGACACTCAACATGGACACCAGCATGAACTTCACCTGCAAATTCACCGACCTTTAAAATATTGAATATATAGTCTTTGTAGTCAAATTATTAATACGAGCGAGTAACTTATGGCCTTTTGCTCCACCGAATTGAAAATAATGATCAAAGGGTTGATAAGTCCTTACTGTGATGTAAGCAGGGATTAAATGGAGGTGCGTGGGACAGAGAAGAGACACAAACATACCTCAGTGTCGTGAGTTTAGGGTATTAAGTTGTTCTCTGGAGAGAATATATGAGCATTACAACTTCTCCCATGTTAGTGTGGGAGGAACGAGGCAATTAAATAATCAACATCAATTAGTATGTCACTTTTAAATCCTAGAAAATTAAGAATGATTTACCACAGAAATGCCAGGACAACAAATCAAACAGTAGGTAACTTGGTGGAATCAGTGACATTTAAGAAATTATCTATGGGTGCTTGCCTCAAAGTTGGTTCCAGCAGAAGGCTAATTAAGATTAAGGTAAAGGACACAATGACATTTGAGTAAGTATGAAGGTGGTGACATATTGAGCTCTCTTACAGATGAAAGAAATGCCTGAAGTTGTGGGCTTGCTCGTTTTAAAGATTAAGAAATATCACACGAAAAAAAGGGAGAAGACCTGTATGACACAATGAGCCGTTAACAAGGCATGAAGGAAAAGAAGATGAACTAAGAATTAAATGGCTTGCTGAGTGCTCTCAAAGTATTCAGCCATTCTATGTGGGGGAAGGTATCATAGGAAAGCTGTATATTTAGGAACAATAAAGAGTTTTTCATTTAGGTGTCAGCTATGGATCTGTTTCCAATTCTAGGCATGAATGTCACACCAATAAATAAGAGTGACCCTGGGAGTATAACATAGCCACACTATTGACCTTTGTATACTGTCTACTACACCATTCAGTATTATATATCCTTGTTCTAATGGGGATTTCAAAAGTACAATCACCAATGGATTACCAATCATCCTCAGATTAAATTTCCACTGATATTCTTTTACAAATAGTGCAGTGTATTCCCGAAATGGCTGAGCAATCAATTGCTGATCGCAGTCTGGCTCCCTGATGAACGATACTGCCAGAACAGACAAATGACAGTGCAGTTCCCATTTCACATTGGAGCTTGGAGACAATATCTCATTGTTTTGTATATGCCAGGCTTATTGTGTAAATACTGATGAAGATACAAAAATATGATTAAAAAGCCACTTCTAGAAGCTTTTATCTGCCATTCTCCGTTCTCTTGAATTTCCCATCTCTGTACTTTATACGACCTATCACAATACTGTGTTTATATTATCTAGTGAAGATACACATTACCACTGGGCATTTATATAATGTATATATGTCAAATACATCTTCATTAGAAGTCTTGAACCTGTCATTAAAAATTCTATCTAAAGAGATTAAAATGGACAACTAATACATATGAGACATCCTATTTCAATTAAGACGCATATCTAGTTTATCTACAGGCAACCGCATATATCCTACAGTATTAGTCTTGAGGGCAAACAAATTACTGAATTATATACAAAAATAATCGAGTGACTTTATATTTATCAGGGGACGTGGATTTATTGCCAGATATATACAGGTATCTTTACTTGTCTAATAATGTTGAACCCATTTAATGTAACATCTGTTAATGTCACTTTCTGGTTAATATCATGTTTTCTTGAAACACCAATTTTTCCCTCTATATTCTATGTAATCCAACATCTAATAATGTGGACAACCCTTAATATCACTTCATTTTGCCGACAATCATCATTAGAGTATTAGATATTTCGAAGAATAAACAAAGGAAAATCACAGTTCTTATGGGTAAAACAAAAAAAAATTCCAAAAAAATATTCCCAAAAAATGTTCTAGTTTTCAAACAATTTTTGTTAGAAACAAGTCAGTTTGGCACATCTGAAGATTAACTTCGGGATTTATACATCTCGGAAAATGTGTCAACTGTTGATCTCAAATTCTGCTTATTATCACATTTTCCCATGACAAATAGAACATGATATTAAGTGGGCTTCACTGTACCACCAACATCTTTTGTGAACTTACATTTGTAATTTCTGAACAAACTGGATACCTAATTTCAAATTATAAACCTTCTTTTCAAACTTTTAAAATATATACTTTCTTAACTTTAATTTTGATATTATTCACAGCATACTTCAGCAACTGTATTGGCTTTGTGTCTCATCCAACTTAATCTTAGAAAATACAGGTTTCATTGATCCTCATAAAATTCTCTCCAACATTGTTGATCACCTGTTTTTATCATTTGATTGTGTTTTAATGGTGGTTCTAGGCCTACAAGTCCCATTCATATGACAGCGCCATGTAAATCAATGATGGAGCTCTGGATGTGGTCTCGTGATGCCACAGCATTGGTAGTAATAGGATGATCATGTTCTGTCATTCATACTCGTGTCAAATATAGTAAAAATGACACATTCATGACAGTGATCGTTACCATGATTTTTACTTCAAATACCAAACCTCTCTGCAGTTTGTATTTTAGTAGCTGCTACTTGTTTAAAAGTGATTTTCATATCACAGCAATCTCCAACCTTCCACCTAACACTTGAGATTGCCTAGACCCTGTAATGCTTGATTACCAATAACATACCACTTGAAATATGATAATAAATGAGTTTTCATTTAATAGTCGATAAACCAAGTCTTAGGAGTCTTTATTTTTATCACTAACCTTGGCAACCGAAAATCAAAACTTCAAAAAAAAAGGAGAGTTTCACAAAATTTCATAAGCTGAGATATTTATTTTCACTTTATCAAAAAAAAATTACATTTCAACGGACTTTAAAATAAAAATGTGGAAGTAAAAATCAACACAGAACTGCCATTTTGTTGTGGCATTTTCAAATCACGATGTAACATCATTGTCCATATTACCATATCCCAATCGCTGCCTGACTGGGCAGCCAAAGAATAAACACTCAAAGGTATAACTACACTAGTATCATATACACAAAAATATAACATGGGCAAATCCACTGTGTAACAGAAAGATTATGTTATTAAAATAAATCATGTTTGAAGTGATTTTACTGTGAAACATATGGAAATACATGTTCTGAATTATTTTCTCTTACACGGTTTCCTGTATTTCTGACAACAAACAAAACAATGACTCTCTTTGCAGTTTCACTAAAATTCATTTCTATAAAATTCAATAAAATACATTTTACTTTCCCTATTTTCTTTTATAAGATTATTTTTCCTTCCTCTGAGAAGTCAATGGTCACACTCAATGTTAGCGAAATATTGACTTGTCAGGCAGTGCTACTTGGACTCTAGTTTTAGGAGCATGCAAAATCTTTAATATACCTATACTAAGGACTTGTTCAAATTGTAGAACATGGGTTCATGACCTGACCCCCTACAAATAGTCCCACAAAATTTTATATCCTTGTATCTGATGTTTCCTTTATTTTTCCAAATCAAAGTCAGGGTTTTAAACTTGCCAAAAGACAGAAGTATATGGGTGAAAATTTTAACGATGCCATGGTATAGATTTTGGTTTCTATTGAACTCTCAGCAAGTCCTGTGTACTTCTCTGAACTGATAGTCAGCGAGTGTTCAACCCACACGAGAGGAGATTTAAAAACTATACAAGCACATTAATCTCTATGGCGAAGGTTTAACATCCTGTGAGGGTTTGAGATTTTTTTTTTGAGGGAATTGACAGGTAGGAGATTAATTCCATAACATTAATTCTTGATTACCATACAATACTGCAG